AGCAAAAAACTAAAATAAAGTAAGAAGAGCTTACGCTTTGATTTCATCAGACTCCCCAATTGATCTGCGAATTAAGCATTCCAAGAAAATAAACAACTTCATGCACATCCTTGCGCACACATGGACTAAACTGGAATAAACTTTAAAATATAAAACAAGCTTAGTGACCTTAATAGCAATTCCTGGCATACTAATAGTAATATCTACTGTTGTCCAAAAAAGAGAGCTAAAGGCACAATTTACATCAAAATACAAACTTTAATGTTATAGAATATCTTTAATTGATACTAATATAACAAAAGTACATCATCCACTTATACTTGAACTCGACGCGTTTTAATACTCTGAAAATGGTCAATAATAGCATCATTGCTTACATTTGTAAATAATTTTTTTTCAAAGTAACAAACTAAACAATCATTTAAAAATGCATCACGAATACTACTACGCAATTCATCTTTGATGTACTTCATGGATGAGAATGCTCTTTCTACCGTTGCAGTCGCGACAGGTAAAATTAGAGTCAACTTCACAAGTAAATAAACAAGTGAATATGTCTCCACAAGATTTGCCTCAACCAACGCTTTTGTCAAATCATCAATTCCTTTCAAATCCGAGAATCTAGGGTCACCATGTTGCATGTGCAATATGAAAGTGTCAAGTTGGTGACTAAGATCTCGAAGCTTCAATTCACCAAACTCATCTTGACCAATGTCATTACTCTTTCTTTATCAAAATTAGCAAACGAATTAGCCGGATTCAAGCTAGCCATACCAAGAAGCAAGTTATCACTAACAACATCAAAACGACTGTTAAGCTCCTGAAGTTGCAAATCAATCACTGTATAAAAAAGCTCAACACGTAAGTGATGTGAATAAGCAACACTAGAAGGCCTACGCTTTGACTTTCCAGGAATATAGAATTCTTCCATATTGGGCACCAAAATATCATGTTTAGTACAAAACAAATAGACTTCATCCATTAATGATTCACATCTTTTATCTCTCATTTGTTGCAACCTTTCCTTTGTAAGGTCAAGAAATATCATGGCATTGACAATATCTTGCTCTTTCTTCTGTAAAGCTTTACTCAGCTCGTTCGACATCAACAATACCTTCAACATCAAGTGAAGCATGAACACAAATTCAAATGAATTGATTTTACTCAAAAAAGCTTCTGCTTGCAATCTATCATTAGCCTCTTGACCTTCATATTCAATCACCCCAAGCACATGAACAGTAGATGCAAATAAAACAACAAAGTTATCTAATGTTTTACAATGTGATCCCCAACGAGTGTCACCTGGCCTTTGAAGTTCTCGCTCTTGATTTAATCCTTTCCCACTTTGAACTTCATCACTCTCTAGCAATTGCTCCAATAATTCGGCATGATGATCCCGAAGTTGATCTCTATGTTTAAAGGATGCTCCAATCACATTCAACACATTAGCAACTATAGCAAAGAAAGTTTCCACCTCCTTATGTTTTTTAGCAACCGCTACAAGCGTCAACTTGCAAAACAATGAGCAAAACAATGAATGCAATGTGGCGAAGGAGTTTCTTGCAAAATTAAAGCTTTAAGACCATTTATTTTTCCTTGCATATTACAAGCTCCATCATAGCCTTGCCCACGTATTTTGGATCGACTTAATGAGTGTTTCATAACAAAGAAAGTATTGCTTCCTTCAACGACTTTGCAGAGGTATCATGAACACGAACAAGACCAATAAATGGCTCGTTCACTTGGCCTTTTTTGTTAACATACCGCAAAGCAAGGGCCATTTGTTCATGGTGTGAAATATCCTTGGACTCATCAACTAATATCCCGAAATAATCCCCATCCAAATCATTGATTATAGCTTTCACGGTTTCTTGTGCACAAGCACTCACAATGTCCTTTTGAATTTTTGGCGAAGTTATCATATCATTTTTTGAAGCATGTTTCAATATGACTTTATCTACTTCAGGGAACCTCTTTGCAAGCCATTCCAAAAGCCCTAGAAAAAGGCCTTTGTTTTTTGAAGAATCACTTTCATCATGACCACGAAAAGACAATCCAAAATACAAGAGAAACCTTGCAACATCGATTGATGCATTTAAACGAATTCGGTGCTCATTTCTTTGTTTCTCAGATTGCTTATCAAAAGCAACTTGAATTGATTGGGATTGATTTGATAAGTCTAGCATCTTGTTGAAACACTTGTGGTGGAGGCTATTTACTTGACCAACATGTAAAGCAAGTCTTTCTGAAGCTTTATTCCAAGCCTTAAAGCCCGTTTTTGTGAAAGAGTCACCCGTGCTTCCATGAACATAATTATTTTTGAATAAATAACAACATAAACAAAATGCGGCATCTTTCTTCACACTATACTCCAACCATCTAGAATACGAACCTTTAAACCAACCCAAACTAAATTGACGCATTTTATTCCCGAATAAAGTTTAGGAAATTTATGATCAACCGGTTGGCAAGGTCCATTTTGAATGTAGTGTCTTCTTACTTCATCCCGTGTTCTAAGACTATATTTATCAATGGGTACTCTCTCTCCAAGGTCGGGATTGAGTAATTTCTCATCAAACTCATCTATAAGATGAGAGGAATTGTTTCTAACACTAAAACTTGGTTGAGAAGAATTAAACTTCGTCAAAAATACGTCCATCTCAATTCACAAGAACAAGAACATCCTACAAAAAAATGAGTTCAATAAATTTAAGAGTTTATCAAGAATACAAACAAACACAATATCAATAAAGAAATCGCACCCATTAATTTGCTTCTTTTTGTATAGCAAAAATGGTTAACTTAAACTCTACAAGAATCTGACAAACAGAATATAGAAATTGTGGGTAAAAGAAAATTGGAAACTTACTGAATACTAATGCTACAACTGTACAAGAATCTGACAAATTTTCAACAGAAAGAGAAGCCAGTCTTAAAGTTTAACAACAAAAGTAAGAGACCACTAAATTTCAGAGAAGCTCAACCTAAACAAAATCATTTGGATAATAGATTTGGGGTTTACCTAGAATGCCTTGGGGATTCTTGAACCAAAAATTTTAAACCTAAATAAAATCATATAAATTCCATCCCCAATTCTCCATGCTCTTACAATTTATAAATAAAAATTAAGTTTCAAAGTAAGAGAAGCACTAACCAGAGATTCGATGCCCGCTACTTTTTCAAAGTAATGAGAGGAATTGAGATTGAGGAAGAATGGTTCTCTATTTTGGAGTGAGGAGTGATGGCTGAGGACTGAGTTTGACGGAGGGGAGCTTCTAAGTTTGACAGAGGGGAGCTTCTGCGTTTGATCGAGGAAGAACTGAAGAAAGGTTTATGGATTTAATGTTTTGGGGCTTTTGATTGGGGTGGGATTTTGTAGAAGAATTAAATAATAAAATTGATTATTATGTATAACTATTAAAATCTAATTAAATTGAGAAAAGGTAAAATCAAAAATTATAAATTAGTCAATTGTTGACTAGTGACTAATAAATAGTACTATTGTACTAGTATATAATTGATTATTCCAATTATAAAAAGTGAAAGAAACTAAAAAAAAGTATTTGTAGAAAAGGGGTTTCGAACCCCAGTCATAGCAAAAGACTATTGTATTAGTATATAATTGATTATTCCAGTTATAAAAAGTGAAAGAAACTAAAAAAAAGTATTTGTAGAAAAGGGGTTTGGAACCCCAGTCGTAGCAAAAGGAACAGAACTAACGCGCAGAGGTGGACCATTGCTCCAAGCAGAATTTCGTTTATAATGGGGCCAAAAACATATTTAAGGGGTCCCCAAAGTATATACAACTATACATACAATATATATACAGGGTTTTTACCGAGGTTAACGGGTTCACGTGACCCCTCCAGGCCTAGTGTAGGTCCGCCTCTGTGTACGCAGACCTTACCTCTACCTTATGAAGGTGGAGAGGCTGTGTACGATAGATCCTCGGCTCAAGAATGTCATCGATCTCGGAGTTACCAAAATTTTATATGTACACGGAGACGAGGAGTGATCATAAATGATCTTGCCATAAGCTTATGCTGGTCTTATATGTGTGCTTAACCTTTGTTTTTTCCATTATGCGGACATTTGTCAAAAGTTGGCTGAAGACACTTTTTTTCCATTATGTGTGCTTAACTTTTGCCTTTAATCGTTGATGACCAATCAGGTTAATGAGTATAAAATGTTATTTTTAAGTTGTTCTACATGAAATTAGAGTTTTTTCATGCAAATTAAGTGGCATATAAGAAAAAATCTTGTTTCTTTTGTGTGATCCGATACTGCAGCTAGGATGTTTTATATTTTGGTTGCTGAGTAGTAATTATACAGGAGTTTGGTTCTGAAGCACGTCTATACTCTCTTTTTCCGCCCCTTATGTTAGGACTAACTTCTGGTAATTCTGCTTTGAACATGTTGCTCGAGACGGTTTTATTTTGTTGGAGTCCTGACTTGTTATCTATACCAATTTGCTAGTCCAAATAACTTCACTGCTCACTTTAGGTATTTTCCCATTATGTGAAAATTTGTCTTCAGCCAACTTTTCTGCAATCACTACATAAATTCCAAGATAATTCATAATTCAAGAATAAGAACATATGAAGGTCAACTTCTCTATATGGAAGTATAGAACTATTCAGATGAAGACGTGATTTGCATAAGCAAACATTTTTCATTTTGAGGCTTAATGGCAATCTCTATTAATGATCATAATTGGTAAAAATTAAGAGTGATAGGATGTTTTCCTCTTTATGAGACCCCTTAGGAAAAAGGTAAGAAAACCGGTCTCCGTTGGTTCTCTAGATGCACAAGAGAAGGCATAATGTTACTGCCGGGAAATAAGTTGCTCTGCATCTAAACTATATTCTGGGTGTAGTAAGTGTGATCCGGAAATGTCTCATTTACTCTCTGAGCTTGAGTAGTCAGTTCGCTCTTTTCTCCTAGCTCTCTCCTTTTTGTTGCGTAAAGTGTGACTATGTTTCCTATTTCTTTATCTTTTTGAACACACATGAGAAGGAATCTCTTAGCACTTCCCAGTAATATATGATGAACATATCATCACCTATTTAGGGATGCTTTCTCAACTCCGAGGCTAAATAGTTATATCATTTGCTCGAGGGTTGGGATATGTCCTCTCTTTTATTCTTTTTGCGGATTTTGCATTTCTATTTGGAGAGATTATAAGTTGCTTATTGATCTAGGAAAATTGTAATCACTTGCAGTGAGAGCAATTGGTTAAGCATCTACTCTTTGTCTTCTCTCTTTAGTCTTTACTACACGTGTTCTGCTTCTTTCAATGTACCTATGATGCAAATTAACAAGGACCTTCGTTGATGCGTTGCAGGCGTTCGAGGTCACAGTCATGCCCCTTTTGCCGCGATAGCCTGAAAAGGGTGAGCTCGGGGGATCTATGGGTATATATGGACAGCAAAGATGTGGTGGACATGGCAACAATTACGAGGGAGAATCTAAGAAGGCTGTTCATGTACATAGACAAGTTGCCAGTGATCGTGCCGGATAATGTTTTTGACACATATGATACTCATCTAAGGTAGAGGAGCAATGACCTATTGGTTATCTTGTTGAAATTGGTCAATGCTAGATTTATTGGAGATAATATGTGATTAGAAGAAACCCAGCCTGTATTATTGAGGCGCAGGGGTTGAAAAGGTAAGTTAGATTAAGCTAAAATGAGCTTTATAATTCTCTTATCTCCTAATTTGTACATGTCTGTACAGTTGCAAAGTTTGGTTCTTGACATTACTACTATTTCTTTTTGGTTGTTTGGTTTCTCATTTTCATGTCCGGCACAGAAGCCAACGTCATGTATTGACAATTTATATACACTGCCAGTGTAAATAATCACTCTTTTTCTTCAAGTAAATAATGTTTACACTATCAAGAATCTAGCTTTCACTTCTTACTATTTTTAAGTTGGACTAAGCACGAGAGAATGGCATTAAACCCAATTATTGAGAATGCACAAGCAGAGACATGAAGTTAAGGCTAAGCCCATGTAAAGAGGGGGTCAAGTGCACAGATAGCCATTCTCAGGATGCTATTTAGAGATTAACCACTATTTATTTTGTCTTGAAATTCTAAACTAAAATTTTTAATTTCAGTACATTTTTGTCCTAAAAATTTGAAGAAAAAAATTGAAATTTAGGACACTACGAACTAATTTTTAAATAGCAGTCATTTTATAGTGACCTGGCTACCTGGTATCGTGCTAGCCGATTTGATATACGCTACTATACGATTTGATATACGCTACTATAAAGAATAAAGTTAATTTTTAAAAATTATTTAAAATTTAGCCAGATTTGGCAAATTTCAGAGTTCAGCCCCTTTTTACTGGTGGTGCTGCTGCTTTTTTTATTTTCTTCTTTGGACCTTCGGGTCCCAAATTTTGAACGGCTAGAGCTTAATTTTCCCTCAAAGGTCTATAGCTTAAGTTGCATTTAAAGTAAAATAATATTTGTTACCTTTCTAAAACAAGAAGTAAAATAATTATTTATAACAAATATTATTTGATAACAGGAAAAATAAATTATACTTAGTAATTTATTATATTACATTAAATTACACTGAAAATACAAAAGTTTTTTTATCTCTACCGTGAAAGATAACGGAAGTGAGAAGTCAAGGGGCATATGTAAGAGACTATGATCATAACTAGAGGCCATTGGCCTGTGCTAGCACGGGCCCAATAAACTGTGTTGCACTACCTTTGATCCAAAATATTTTTTAAATTAGGATTTTATACAATAGAAATAGACGGTCGATTCACTATTTACTTCTCTTACTTGATTTATATATATTATACACTAATTATACATGATTATACGTATTGTATATGAATTATGCATATATTATTTATTCCCGAATTTTTTTGTTTAAGTAGATGGGTAAGCGGCTATTTAGATTAATTCTTCTCCTTAAATTTTTGCACTCGTATAAAAAATCAATTATAACATTAATAATAAGATTATTTGACCGAATTATTCTTTTATCTCTCGCAGTAAATACAATTAAGCATGGACAAATGATTGTTATATCGTTTATTAGACAACAAGCATAACTTTGAAATAAAAAAATAATTAATATCTTCTCGATTTGTTAAGATGACACTTATTGTGTACCAATTTTGAAAAGTTAAAATGCCTATTTTGGATCAAATGTAATAGTATATTTTACTTGAGAAATTTATTGTTTGTCATTGTTCAGATACTTTTTGTCACCATACTTTAGTGAGATAGACGAAGATAAATTATTTGCAATCACATTATCTTAATAAAACTTCTTACATTTGAAGAGGACAACGAACGAAACTATTCAAAAAATATTATACTAGTGTTTTGTTAAACATATGATACAAATGTTAAATAAAGATTGTTTTAGAAATATTTATATTTAAACCTTTAACTTAATACGTAAACTTATCATTCGGTTAGTACAAAGTACAAACTCCTAAAATATCAAGGGTTGTCTCTCCTTACTTCTCGATATATGATTAATTTTATGGATTAAACCAGCAAGCTAAGTCAATCGAGTACTATGCAATTTTCTTATATTTAACGCCAATCGTCGTATCATATGTCACGCAAATATAGTAGAGGACAAATAGAAAGTGAGCTAACTTTTGTTTGCATAATGTTGTAGTAATAGTAAGTGAATTTTGGTTCTCAAGCAGATTTATTTTGTTGTGCCAAAGATTATATATTGTTTATGTGATAGAGTAATGATTAACAATGCCTACATTTTTCTAACGTCAAATTGAGAGAGTGAATAGTAACTTTTTGAGATATATAGTCAAATATGAGTGATTTTATTGTTCTAAGAAAAATAAAAATAACTTTTTTAGTAATTTTCATAACATAAATGACCATTCATGGAATTAACTCTTATTATATTATACTAAATAATTGTAGTATTGTTAATGTTTAAATAAAAAACAAACCGCTAATCTAAGCCATTCAAGCGTACCAGAACAGAAATCAAGAAAATATCACACACAAAAGGACAGGAGGCCAGAGACAGAAAAACAAAACAAAGAGAGAGGGAAAAAGGGTGAGAGGTGGGAAAAAAAAACAGAAAATGGGGTTTGAAGGGGAAAAGAGAGAAGAGGAAGGAGTAATGGCTAATGATTTCTTTTGGTCATATACTGATGAGCCTCATGCTTCTCGTAGAAGGCAAATCCTCTCTCAATACCCTCAGATTAAACAGCTTTTTGGCCCTGACCCTTTTGCCTTTCTCAAGGTATATATATGTATGCCCATTTTTATATAGATTTATGTATAAAGTTCATATCTTTATGTATGAATTAGTGTTAAATTGGTGTCAATTTGATGCATTATTGGTTTTGCTTCATGGATTTGTCTTAGATCTGGGATAATTATTGTGGTGGTGGTTTTTTTATTTGGGGGTGTGGGGGGGTCAAAAATTGAATCTTTATACTCCCTCCATTCCACTTTGTTTGGCACTATTATCTTTATTAGTCCTTCCTTGTGTGTTAATTTTGGACTAATGAGTTCAAAAAGGGAAATCTTTATACACCCTTTTGCCTTTTTCAAGGTATATGCCCATATTTATATATATGCATGTATAATGTTGAAATCTTGATGTATAAGTTAGTGTTAACTTGGTATGAATTGATGCATTATTAGTTTTGCTTCATCGGTTTGTCTTAGATCTGGGATAATGTGGGGGATCAAAAATTGAATCTTTATAATCCCTCCATTCCATTATATTTGGCATTATTTTCTTATTAGTTCTTACAAAAAAAGAATAACACATTTCTATATTTACTTAATAGTCCGTTCCTTATTAATTTTGGACTAATTGAGTTCCAAAAAGGGAAATCCTTTCACACCCTTCTGCCTTTCTCAAGGTATATATGCCCAATTTTATTTATACATGTATAAAGTTGAATTCTTTACGTATGGATTAGTCCTGTATTGGTATGAATTTGCTGCATTACTTAGTTTTGCTTAATTTGGTTGTCGTAGATCTGGGATACTGTGAGGTAAAAGATTGAATCTTTATTAAATAACTCCATCCCTTCTAGTTTACGCGGCATACTTTCCTTTGAATTTGTTTAAAAAAGAGTTGACATCTTTCTATATTTAGAAATAATTTAACTTTAAAAATTCATAGCCACACATAGATCACGAGTAAAGGGAACGAGGGTGCCTTAGATCTGGGATAATGTGGGAAAATCTTTATGATATTACTGGGATATTGTGATTCGGAATGCTATTAGCTTTTTTCTTTTAAGGAATTTGCTTCCTGAATCAGATAGTTCAATTGTGGTACATATACTCTCGGTTGAAATTTATTCTAAGAGAGCGGATTTCGAAATTGAAAATAAAATCAAATCCGGATATGGTCTTCGATTTGTCTTGTTTTGTCCAACTAGATTCTAAAACTAGTAATTTCTATTAGGTTCCACATTTTATCTTTCCCTACTGCCCCATCCTTGTAGCTAGATCAAGAAAGAACCTCCCCTCACCTTTTTTCTTCTCTCTTTTCCCCTAAAACCAAAGTGGGAAAAAAAGAAGAAAGAGAAATCATGACTGTATCATCAACTTGTGACTGCTCGTGCATTCAGATCAGTATCTATTGTTTGATAGAAACACCTTTTATTGCTATAGGCACTTTAGCTCATTGATATGATGGTATGATCACAACCCCTTTTCTACAAAGTCCAATATTTTGATAGATGATGTTATATGATGATATTATGTTCTATTCCGGATGTCTTTTCTTAGACAACTTAAATAATGGTGACAACAGAAAATTCCTGTGACTATGACTTGCTCATGTATATGCAGTTTGAGCGTCCTAACTAGATTCCTTGGAGGACAACATTAGATGTTATTACATAAATTACGAGTTATAAAATCTATTTCTAAAATATGAGGAACTTGTCACAGAAACTGATAAGTGCTGCTAAATTCATATATTTATAAATAGATATGTTTCATTAATGTTTGAGATAGCTATTTCGGCAGCAATATTTTCAAATGAGCACTCATTATCATTTATTTATCTATTATGGCAGCAAATCTGTCAAATTTTAGTGCTTACTGTGTATTCTTATTGAATATTAACTATGTACTTCCCCCGTCCCAATTTATGTGGCACTATTTGACTTGGCATGGAATTTAATAAAGAAAAGAAGACTTTTGAAAATTTTGGTTCAAAATAAGCCTTAGATGGCCACAGATCATCTCATTAGGGGTTATTGGGAAAATTTGAAGTTAAATTATTTCTAAATATGGAAAGGTGACATTCCCATAGGAGTCATAAAGCACTAGGTTTCTTCCCATCTGCCCAAGCCTTGGTGGATAGAGTTGCCTGGTACATGTTGCTAGTGGGAAGGTGGCAGGTATCCGGTGAAATTAGTTGAGGTGCGTGCAAGTTGGCCCGGACACCACGGTTATCAAAAAAATATGAAAAAGTGACATTCTTTCTAGGTCAGACTAAAAAGGAAAGAGTGCCACATAAATTGGGACGGAGGGAGTATGAATTTGTGTATAGTCTTGCAGACTATTTAAATTTCTCGGTCTCTCAAATGTTTTTCCTATTGATCAATAAACTTTGTCCTCTGCAGATATCTGGAGTTGTTTTGCTTCAGCTTTGGACTGCTACCTTCCTTCAAGATGCAAGTTGGCTGAAGATATTGATAGTAGCCTACTTTTTCGGCTCTTTTCTAAACCACAATCTCTTCTTGGCTATTCATGAACTAAGTCATAACCTCGCTTTCTCTACTCCAGTCTACAACCGTTGGCTCGGAATATTTGCCAACCTTCCCGTGGGTGTGCCCATGTCTGTTACCTTCCAAAAGTATCACCTCGAGCACCATCGCTTCCAAGGAGTTGATGGAATCGACATGGACATCCCGAGCCTTGCTGAAGCCCATGTCGTCAAAAATGTTCTTGCAAAATCTATATGGGTTATTCTCCAACTTTTCTTTTATGCTTTCCGGCCACTTTTTCTTAAACCTAAACCACCTGGCATATGGGAGTTCATTAATTTGATTATCCAGCTATCCCTCGACGGAGCTATGGTTTACTTCTGGGGCTGGAAATCACTCGCTTATCTAATTCTGTCTACTTTTGTTGGGGGCGGGATGCACCCAATGGCTGGTCACTTCATCTCCGAGCATTATGTCTTCAATCCTGAGCAGGAGACATACTCCTATTACGGTCCCCTTAACCTTATGACTTGGAGTGTAGGATACCACAACGAGCACCACGACTTTCCCAGAATTTCCGGAAGCAAGCTCTACAAGGTGAAGGAGATTGCGCCAGAATATTATGAAAACTTAGATTCTTACAAATCTTGGAGCCAGGTCATCTACATGTACATAATGGATCGAACAGTTGGACCTTTCAGCAGAATGAAGAGAAAGTTGTCAACAAAGGCAAATAAGTCCGAATAGGTGCAGTGGTAGTCGTTTCTTCCTTGCTAATACTTTCAGTCTTACTATGTGATATTTCTTGTCTGTTTTGATTCTTGTAACAATATGATATAGTTCCGGCATCATGTGCAATAGAGTTGATGTAGCAGTGACTAAGTTCATCTTTAATCATGTATAATATTCCTTAATTATGGGATTTCCATGTTATTTATTTTACTGCATATAGTCTCTTCAATTGGAAATAAAGGGGAAAAGAAATGACCCATCTGAAGCCTTGGATAGTGATGTCGCCCAAACTCACACCACAAATATAGGTAGTGAGGCGGTCGAAGTAATAATAAAACCCAACGCAAGTCGGGGTCGAATCCTCAGGGAGTTAGAGTTGGGATTAGGTATATATTTAGTGTAATTGTACAACATGCCTTAGATTACACTTCCACATTCTTGTTTGTTGTTTCTACTTCTACTTTAAACTATTGATTGCAATTATAAAACTAGGATACAATATTTTTGGTTTTGGTTGTTTTTCAAATGATAAAGATCTAGGGTCGTGACTTCCACCTAGGTGGTTACCTAATGGGTTGAAAACTCTAGGACAAGCCTGATTGGTCGGGGTTGTAATATAGCAATCACACGCAATTACCCACTCTATACCTCTCGGTAGTTTGAGTGGTTTTGCCCAATTTGGCTTTCTCAAGTCCAAATGGGTATTGTGCAAAACAAGTGATAAATGCTCAAGTCGTGTCTTACTATCTCTAGATTCAACCCTTTAATTGAGGTTATAAATTTTTTGAGTTCACCCCAATTTCTTGTTAGCCAAGTTTTCCTATACTTAGTCTCTCTTTCTCAAGTAGAGACTAAGTCAATTAGGCATGAATCAATGTTTGCAACCATTAATTCTTGAATTCAAGCAAGAACTAGGCTAAATATCACTAACCCAATCACAAACAAGTCCTAAATCAAACACCATTAAGTACCCACACTAGGGTTGGGCCACAACCCTAGCTAGAAATTTAGCTACTCGTGAAAAATGAAGAAATACAAAAAGAAATTAAGATAGAATGCATAATAATTGATTAGGGAAAGAAAATATAATGTTTAGAAGCTAATCTAGTACAATATTACTCAAAACATTAAAGAAAAACGGATCAGGTGCTCTCCCAAAACAAAACTTACCCTAAAAATGACAAAAAGTTCTATTTATACTAAGCTGAAAATATCTAACAAAAATGCCCTTGCGGAGGTTGTGCGGCCGCATAATTATGTGTGCGGTCCGCACAACAAGACTTGGCTTGACAGGTTCCAGTTCTGCGGCCGCACAATTCTGGATTGCGACCGCACTCCTTCAACTACAGCGGACCGCACATTTGTGATGCAACCGCACAATTATAGTGTGGTCCACACTCCTTGATCTTAGGTTCTAGTTGTGTGAGACTTCTGCGGACCGCATAAAAATGAGTGCGGCCGCGCTCTTGATTATGCGGCCGCATAAAAATGGTGCGGTCCGCATTTCTTCTTGAACTTGAAATCCCATCTCTCTGATCTTTGTCTTCTGCGGCCGCACCAGAATTGTGTGGTCCGCACTTTACATGTCATTTCTTGTCAGAGGTTTTCTTCATTATCTGCGGCCGCACTCAATATTGTGCGGTCTGCAGAGTGCCCTTTTAGCCTTGTTTTTGTCCTTCTCCAATATTACTCCTTCTTGAGTTAATTTTCATTTCTTCATGCTCATATTCTAACACTCCTGCAAGCAAGCATATTTCGTTAGATTTCGAGAATACCTTTAAGCAATTTTGAGCTAAAACGCAAGTAAAAGAGTGTAAATAAGCAGTTAAAATCCCTACTTATCAGATAGGCCTGGAGTCTCATCTTGGAAAATATGACAGTAACCTTCATAAGCATAACACTACCAATGAGTTGTCAGCTTATACTCCCTTGTTACATTTTATATGCCTCCTATTTCTAGTTCCTTGTTATTACATGGTGCGTCACTATTACTAGTAGCTGGTACTAGTTTTGTATTCTCGTATTCCTTGATCTTGGTTATTGCTTCCTTTCTCTGTTCTTGAGTCGAGGGTCTGTCAGAAACAACCTCTTCACCTTCATCGGGTAGAGGTAAGGTTTGCGTATGCAACTACACTTTACCCTCGCCAGACTTCACTTGTGAGATTACACTGAGGGTGTTGTTGTTGTTGTTACATTTTATATACAGGTATTTAAATGGATACAGAGTTTAAAAAAAAGTAAAACTATTAGAAATTGTGATCTTAAACGTGTTATGACATTTTTGTATCTAAAGTTAATAAGTTTCCAATTATAGGAAAGATATCACTTTCTTTAATAGACTAATAAAGAAAGGGTATTGCATAAAGTTGAACAATGGGATACTTGATTTCATAACTAGAAAAAAGAAAGTAGTACTTGATTTCTTACAAATTCTTATCACCCCACTTCAATTTGTGCCCCCCTTGCAAGTTCTAAGTTAGCGTTTGGACATAAATTTGATTGAAACTTAAAAAACATGAGTTTTTGATGAGATGAAAAATAATTTTTGAATGTTGAAATTGTGTTTAGACATGTATTTTACTTGAAAAGAATTTGAAGTTTTGTAAGTAGAAAACTTCAAAAACTACTCTAGAGCCATTTTTAGGATTTGAAGATTTTGTTTTCAATATCTGCCAAAAAATGATTAAAATCTATAAACAAACAATTTGAAAAAAAGCTCCTAAATTTTGCGGGAGCTAAATATGTTGTGTTTACACTAATAGTTTTATGGCTATGGTTCGCACTTTGTAAATAAGGTATGAATTTCAACCCCATGTGAGCAGCATGCAGTTGTAGAAATATTTAAGTCGTACATGCAAAACTTCATATTTTCACATTAAGAGCCTATTTGACCAAGTTTCTCCAAGGTTAAAAGTATTTTTTCCCCCAAAAAAGTGCTTTTTTTTCAAAGTTAAGTGTTTGGCCAAGCTTTTAAAAAGAAAAAAAAGTGTTTTTGAGTAGAAGCAGAAGCAGTTTTGGAGAAGCAGAAAAAAATAGTTTCTCTCCAAAAATACTTTTTTAAAAAGCACTTTTGAGAAAAATATACTTAAAAGCACGCATGGCCAAACGTTAATTGCTGCTCAGAAGTAATTTTCAAATTAATTAGTCAAACACAAATTATTTATCATCAAAAATACTTTTGAGAAAAATGCTTTTAAGAAAAGGTACTTCTCAAAATAAGCTGATTTTAGAAACTTGACCAAACATGCTATAAGTTTTGTTAAATTATCTAATTTTGATTATCAAACCTTCAATAAAATTAGTGAAAGTCATTTAGTTATAACCATTAGTTTCTACGAGTAATATTGGAAAAAAAAAATCAACAATGTAAAGAATTTTATATAATCGTGCTATTTAAAAATTAATTACATAATTTACCGCATGCTTGGGTGGGTAACTTTGACAAGATGGTAGATAATCGACATGAATTTTACCGTAGTGCATATAGTATTTTGCTCAGAAAGGAAGTTCTTTAATTAATGTTTAGCAACCAAAAACTTCTACAAAGAAAAATTACTAAAAAAGAGGGAGGTTCCCGAAAAGCTCTATAAAACTAAACAAAGAGGTAAAATAAGCTATTCACAATATCCTATCCACTAAAGATTTGCCACTTTAAGTCATTGTGAGCACCTAATTTTTTACCGTGCTTGAATATTTTCCGCTTACATCTTCCACGCGTGTCCCCACTCCATTTTCCTTTGCTCCCCACTCTTTGTCCTTACTCCACTCTCCATTGTTTCCCATTCCTTGTCCCCCCATCACAACCCCCACATGTCCCTCTTTCAGAAAACACACACACACACATGAG